CCAAGCCCTTCCCCCTCACACTGACACCCACATGGACCCTCCACCTCACAGCCCCTCCCCTCATACATAGAGGGACTTGCTTGCTGGAGCCTAACATAACAAACCCAGGTGTGAGATTTTATGGATGTGGAATTCTCCCAACCACATATTAAACCTCCCAACCCCCCCAGTGCAACGACTCCCCAAGGTAGTCGAATCCATATGTGGTTCACTCTTTTCATCACACCAGACGGCTCCCTTTGACCAACTACCTTTTGAGGCCAACAAGAAACCTTCCAGTTTGGGCTCATTCATGCACCACATTTACCAGTTGTCCTGGGCTCATTGCCCATGACCTGCACTTCTGCTGGCTGTCAGGCGGGACACCCTTCCACTCCATGCCTCGCCTACAATCCTGTTTCTCAAGATTGAGCCCAAGACCAGAAACTTGCTGCAGCTTATGCAGCCCTGTAGAGCATTCAGAGACACAAAGAGAAGATCCATAGGAGACCTTGGCAAACCCCATAAGAACGGCCAGACTGGGTCAAACCAAAGGTCCATCTAGCCCAGTATCCTGTCCTCTGACAGTGGCCAATGCCAGGTGCCCCAGAGGGAACTAACAAAACAGGCTTCCTGAGAGCATCTGCCCCCTTCCACCACAAAAGCCAGCAGGCAGGTAAAAGAGAGGGGTGGAAGTCCCAGGAACCCTTACTCTTTTTCTCCACAGCCACTGCCCATCAGCAGGATTTCTCATCCATCTCCATCCTGTGCCTCGGTGAGACTAAAACTCCTCACCTAGACAGCCGGCCCGTCTGCCGCACCCCGATCCCCCATGCTTAAACCTCCCTGCCAAAGTCCTGCACCTGGCTCCATAGAATTAAGTCTCACATCTCACTGGGAACTCGACTTCTTGTGCCCAGAGTGTCTCTGCCCCCTCAGAAGATGACCCAAGAAATGCAGTGTCCGCCTTTGCTAAAGAAGTGCTTGGAGAGACTTTTCTCATGTGACCGCATGGCTTAGCAGATAAGGCGTCTGACTTTGGATCCGGTGATTGAGGGTTCAATTCCCTTTGCTGTTGTGCTTGTGCAGTTTTCCCTTCATGCTGAAAGTCCTGCTCTCTTCCTGGCTGCTCAGGCCGATCCTCTGGCTTCAGCTAGAGCCCTGGGAAGGAGTTGGGGGTTGGGTGTCACAAAGGCTAGGGCATGAGCCCCAGGTCTTCCAGTCTAGCCTTTGTCATTCCTGACTTACCAAAGAAAATGGGTGGCTGCCCGGGCTAAAGTGTAGAGCAGTTTCCCTCTTCCAAATGTGCGCCTGTCCCTGTGCTTGATGGGGCTTGCTAAATAGGTGTTTCTGGGTGTTTCTCTGCTTCTCACCAGCTGGGGAAAAATCTCCTGCCCCACTACAAAAGTGAGCACCTTTTGTGGGAACGGTCAGAGGCCTCATGAGGGGGGCTGGCCCTGCTTTCCTGCAACATTCTGATGTTGGCCACAGAGCATCAGCAGCCGCCCTGCATGCTGGTCTGTGGGTGGCCTTCAGTGAGTGTTTGGCATGCCAGGGAGCAGGCTGGCCAGGTGCCTTTGTGGCTGTCAGCTGGCCATGCATAGGCATGGTCCTCCTCACCCTTGATTACTCTGTTGCTTTTAAGCCTTCCCTTGGAGCTGTCAGCATGAGCTGCCTCTGCTCTAGGTGTCCAGAGGAGGAAAAGTGTGCTGGGCTCCAGCCTGAGACTCTTTGTCCCTCCTGCCTATCTCTGACTATGAAGCCTGGCCCTGGCACTCCTGTCCATGTGAGCAAGAGGAAAAGTGTGGCAGCAAGCACAAGGGCCAAACTTGCAGGCATCATGTGAAGCAGCAAGAATCCCAAACATCAGGTCAAACCGCAGGATGGCCAGCATCGATAAACAGGGTGGCAAGTTCTAGAGGCCCAAACCACTGCCACCATCCCGTCACGCCATCCTGACCAAAGACCTGGCTCCAGGGCGTGAGTCACCCAGCAGGAGGGAAAAGACTCGCTCTTTCACAACTGGAGCCAGGGAAGGTGAGCACTTCAAGCGCCAGGGCTTTGCTGCACACAAAGACAAGGTCTCACTGCTATTTGAATTCGGATTGCAGGATTCAGAGTCTTGACCGTTACACCATGGAACCAGATTGTGCTGTTTCCTCTGGACATCTGTGACCCTCACGGGGCTGGCTTGTGTAAGGGGATTGTTGGCCCCTTACTAAAACTTAGTGGGTTTTTTTGGTGGGCTAGTTCCCAGTATCAAAAGAAAGGGGAAGGGTCAATGAGAAATCAGGACCCTGAGAGTAACAGTCCCCAGGGGCAATGGGGAGAGGCCAAAGCTCCAGCTCACCCTGACAGACAGGCCAGGCAGTCTGATGAGGGAGTCACCAGGCCAGGGGGTCCCATCCTCCATATGAGCTGGAACTACCTGGGCCAGAGTGGGGCCGAGCTAAGGAGAGAACAGGAGCTGAAGAGGAGCACCTGAGGCAGCGTGAGGACAGCGGCTCCATCACTGTCCAGGTCCCGCCCAGACGTGTTACCCGCCTGGAAGCAGATTCCCAGGAGCTGTGAGACCTGCTGCTCCCGGAGCCTTTGGGCAGAGTCTCTGTCCTGCCCGCCCAGCGCTGGCCCCAGGGTCTCTCTGGCCCTTGGTGCCTGCAGCTCCGGGCCAGGGGCAGCAGAGCCTGGGACTGGGTACAGCTGGAGAAAGTTCCCACCTCAGATGGGCACAGAAAGTGCTTCAGTGAAAGTCTGTCCCTGGACCAGCCCCACTGGGGCCACAGCAGCAGCCCGGAGCTCAGCCCCGGCTCCCAGTTCACACTGGAGGCAGCAGCACCAGCAGTGTCTCATACCTTACAGAGCCCTGCCTCCGGGATCTGCCCCACAGCTCTTTTCCTGCCTTCCTTCCTACCAGCCCCCGGCTCCCCACTGCTCCAGCCCCTTCCTGGCTCCTTCAAGCCCAACCCAGGCTGCAGCTGCCGAATGCACCAGGCCAGGGACTTTCTGAGGTGGGAACTAGCCCCATCTTTGCTCCTCCTCCTGCCTCTGTGTGTCCCAGAGCCACTGCAGAGACTGACCCACACCTAGGCCCTCGCTCCTATTAGCACTCGCAGGGGCCGATCCAGCTACAGGAGAGTGAGCGCCCCTGGGAGCAGGGAAGTGACCAAGTCTCCCTGCCAGAGGGTGGGGGGAGGGGGAAGAAATGGAAAAAGGAGAGAGAGACCAAAAGGGGATAAGGAGAAATAAGTGGGGAAAGCAGCACCCAGCCCTTTTCTACTGCATTACCCCTGAGTAGATTGCTCCTGAGCTCTGGGTAAATATCCCCCGGTTTCCAGGGTCTCCCACATCCCCCTGCCTCCAAGGGAATGCACATAGGTGTCTCCTTCCTGCCAGGCATGATTACAAGGAGCTGTAGGTGTCACCCTTATGCATGATTGGAGAAAGACAGCAAACCTTGGGAATGTGCATCTGTATTTACAGTCCAGTGTGACAATCCCTGCTCCAGGAGGGGTTTGTTCTCTACTCCTGCTGGATGGGCACAGAATGGGGCAGCAAAAGGCTTGTGTCAGTTTTTGTTGCTGCACATTCCTTAACTTAGAAGAGTATGAAATGAAGAAAATGGAGATTGAATTAAAGGGAAATATAGAAATAAAAGTTCCAGCCCCGGTTGCTTATTGAAAGAACTGACTCAATATCCCAGTTATATGTTTTATTAACATGAACAAATAAAGCTAAGAGCACACATCACTAAGGCTAAATGACTATAGACACCACTCAGCTAAGGGTTAAACAATACAGTGATAAAGTTCAGGTCAAATCAGTAAATCAATGATTTAACATGGATATTGCATTGGAATCAAGTCATCAATTTAATCAAACCATCAGATTAATACAGCAGAAAATCAACCCTTATAAATACTAAAAGAGCAACCCAAGAAGGCAGGTGCATATTTAGTGATGCCGAAACCCCAATCAGAGATTTTTACCCAGGCAGTGCAACCCAGCTTTACCCAGCTGAATATTTCAATACCAAAACCAAATTATTGCTTACATTTAGTCTACAATCTCAAAGCGAATTACAGTTTTCTCCTTAGATTTCACTATTGTGTAGCTAACACTTCTCCTGTCCTCTCGCCCCAAAACACATACAGACCTTAGAAAGACATTAGTAAAAGAAGTTGAAACAGCTCTCACTGAACAATACATATCTGAAAGCTCAATTCCTTGCAATGCTTCCATAGGTGAGGAGCATGCGTTCAGTCATTTCATAGAGCAGAGTTTTAAGACTATTAAGATTTGGGGAACTATTCTTCCAAGCATCGTCCCTTTTGTAGATTTCAAAAGTGTTCACACACACACTGAGCCACACTGTTACACACAATCTAATAGAAAGGCTGGGAGGTCTCCAAGTTAAGAAAAAGAAACAGACACAAAATAGAAAAAGGAACAAAATGTTCCTAAGATGATAAGGGGTTGGGTCTCTGCACCTCTCGGTCTTTGGATTCACCTGGAGTAGGAACTGTAGTCGCAGTTTAGGAACCAGGTAATGGCATAGATGGTCCAGCACTTTGGGCTAGCAGGCTTTTCCAGTACAGGGAGACTTGTGAAGGCTGCATAGACTGTCGCCTTTGTGCTTCATTCCCCGGAGGGGATCAGTCCTGAGATCCTGGCAGTCAGTCTCTCTGAGGCTATGTCTACACTGGCAGAGTTACAGTGCCAGGAGTTACAGTGCGGCTCAGAGAGCGCTGAAGGGAAACCGCTATTGTGTGTTCATACTGTTAGCTGCCTGCGCAATAGCGTGTTCACATTTGTGGCACTTACAGCGGTACTTGGAGCGGTGCACTCTGGGCAGCTATCACACTGAGCATCACTTCCTTTTCTGCCACCAAGAGTTTTGGGAAGGTGGAGGGAGCCCAAAAGTGGCATTCCACTGTGGCCAGCACTCCTTGAATGCCATGTTATGCGTTGCTTCACATCTCAGCAATCCCTGTGCTTCCATCTGCATTTGGCGCCATCATTCAATAATTTGTGTACTGTACACTCTGCCTATTTAGTCTGTAGGAATGGGTCTGCACTTACTAAGACATCACGAGTGGCAGTGGAGATATTACTTAAACTACAAAGGCAAGAGGAGTTCAACAGTGATTTGGCCATGTGTAGTAGCTATGACATGGGATCGCTTGTGGCATTAACGGAGGTACTGACCACAGTGGAACACCACTTTTGGGCTCAGGAAACAAGCATTGAGTGGTGGGATCACATCGTGATGCATGTCTGGAATGATGAGCAGTGGCTGCAGAGCTTTCGGATGAGGAAAGCCACATTCATGGGACTGTGTGATGAGCTCGCCCCAGCCCTGCAGTGCAAGGACACGAGAATGAGAGCTGCCCTCTCATTGGAGAAGCAATTGCACTGTGGAAGCTGACTACTCCAGATTGCTACCAATCAGTCTCTAACCAGTTCAGAGTAGGAAAGTCAACCATTGGACAAGTTTTGACAAATGTGCAGGGCCATTAATTATACCCTGGTCTGAAAGACTGAGACCCTGGGAAAAGTGTGTGACATTGTGCATGGCTTTGCACAAATGGGCTTCCTTAACTGCGGAGGGTGATAGATGGCATGTATATTCCAATACTGGCACTTGACTACCTAGCCACCGAGTACATTAATCACAAAGGGTATTTTTCTATGGTTCTCCAGGCACTTGATGACCGTGGGCATTTCACGGACATTAACACAGAGCGATCCAGAAATGGGCATGACACACACATCTTTCAGAACACTGGCCTATTCAGGAAGCTGAAAGCAGGGACTTTCTTCCTGGACCAGAAGTTCACTGTAGGGGAAGTCGAAATGCCCATTGTGAAACTGGGAGACCCTGCTTACCCCTTAATTCCGTAGCTTATGAAGCCATACACGGGGCATCTTGACAGCAGCAAGGAGCAGTTCAACAACAGGCTGAGCAAGTGCAGAATGACTGTTGAGTGTGCTTTTGGCAGTTTACAGGCCTGCTGGCGCTGCCTATGTGGAAGGCTGGACCTGGCTGATGACAATATTACTATGCTTATAGCCGTGTGCTATACACCCCATAACGTTTGTGAAGGGAAGGGTGAAAGCTTCACTCAGGGCTGGACGGCTGAGGCTCAGCACCTGGAAGCTGAATTTCAACAGCCAGAGACCTGGGCTGTTAGAGGGGTGAAGCGTGGGTCATAAGAATCAGGGATGCCTTGAAGCAGCAATTTGAAGCTGAAAGCCACTAATATTTATTGCTATACATGGGACTGCAGTGCTTGTAATGCTAAGAGATGATTGTGATTGGTGCAGATGATGCATCACAAAGGTTTAAGAGAATTGCGTGTTTCTTTGCAAGGCTCTGTTTGCTTTCCATTAATGGAAAAAAGATTGTTTTCAAAGCAAAACTATTCTTTTATTAAAAAGCAACCGCCAGAGGAGGGGAAAAAAAGCACATCAGCACTGTGGGGGATGGGGGAAGGGAGGGTCCCATGAGGAGGTGGGGTCCAATGACGGTTAAAGAGTTGTGTATATCCAGGTATCATATGCAACCTTATCCTTTGGAGTACACTGCAGTGGGTACAGTACTTGAGCAGGAATAAACTACAGAGGGACAGGTGTTGAATGTACTGGGTACTGAGCGTCCACAGGGCTGGACTGTGATGGGGCAGGAGTGGAATGCAGCGGGTACAGACTGGAGCCAGGAGGTTGCTAAGAGTGCTTTGGCACTGTCTGGGGGGTGCATGGGAAAGATTTTTGTGACAGCAGATGCCGGGGAGGGCGGTCATGGAGCTGTTTGGTTTGCAGTGCTAGTAGCACCTGGAGCATGTCTGCTTGGCACTTCATAACATTTAAGAGCCACTCCATGGCTTCATTCTGGGGCACCGTGTTCTCCTTTTGGTCCTTGTTTTTCAGCCACAGGGTGCATCATGACCTCATTCAGAAAAGTTCTCTTTAGTTCTTCATGGCCGCTTTCTAATTCTGCGCAGCTGTTCAGCCGGCAGTAACAAAGAGAGAGGCTGGGATCCCAAGGTCATATCTGTGAAGCCAAAATGCAACATTTTACAGAAGCAGACCACTGATGCAGTGATTTAAAACACAGCCACTATTCACATACCTATCACTAACTGGCTAAACCCAGGCAAGCACACATGAGCCACAAGACCCCCACAAAATGATAACAGCAGGGGCAGGGGAAATCACTGTTCCAGGAATGTCCTGTACACTGGGCATGTGGCTCTTTGGGAGAGATGGCACTGTAGGGGGGGCTTTACAATAATTTCTGTGCCCGCATTTTCCACAGGCTGTGTTCATTATGGAAGATATCTCACTGCTCAGTATGAGCAGGGAATCAAGGGAAGGTCTTCTCCAAGACTGTGGCATCCGCCCTGGCCCTTATGTGGCTCACCTATGTGCAGCAATGGTCCCCCCCCACCCCTCCCATGACGGCAGAGTAGTGCAGGAAAGTTACTCTTAATGGGACATGAAACAAAGCAGCTGTGCCAAAGAAATTGCAGCAGCGGATTGCTCTGTATCTCCATGAGAGTTTCATGGAGATCTCTGGAGCAGATTCCCAGGAAGCGAGGGATTCAATCTCCACCCTGTTCCACCGCTCAGACTGGGCCTGTGGTGGTACGCACATCATACAGATACAAGCCTGCTTTCTGTAACCCTCCTGCCCTCAAGAACTCACTTCAGTGATTCCCAAAATCTAAGCCACTTAGCAGGGGCCTCCTCTCCTGTTTCCACTTGGCCAAGCTCCAACAGCTGTGACTGTCTAGCCTCCTCTGGGGTAGAGAAGAACTCCTGGCTGCATGCATCCCTGACCTCCGACTCACCCTCTGCCTCTGGGTCTCCCTCCGCCTCTACAGCCTCATCCAAGATTTCCTCCTCCTGGCTTGGTCCACTCTCGACTGGCATGTGAGCCACTGAAGTATCCACAGTGGCCTTTGCAGTGGAGGTGGGGTCACCACCGAGTATCGCATCCAGCTTTTTGTAGAACTGGGAGCTTGTGGGTGCAGCACCAGAGCGGCAGTTTGCCTCCTGCGAAATGGAGTAGGAGTTCCACAGCTCCTTCACTTTGATCCTGCATTGCAGTGTGTACCAGTCATGGCCCCTTTCTCTCATGCACCATGAAATCTGTCCATAGGTATCATAATTCCTACAGCTGGAGCACAGCTGGGAGTAGACAGCCTCCTCTCCCCAAATGCTGATGAGGTCCAGCAGCTCAGCATTGCTCCAAGCAGGGGATCACCTGGTGCGTGGAGCAGGCATGGTTACCTGGAAAGATACACTGAGACCACTGGCAAACAGGAAGGGGACTTTCAAAATTTCCAAGGAATTTAAGAGGTCGGGGTCATGGTTGGTCACCTGAGGGCAGTGCAGTAGAGTTCAAACTGATGACCAGAGAGGTGAGAACAGGGATTGTGGGACACCTCCTGGAGACCAATCACAGTGCTGTAATTGACCAGTGTGTCTACACTGGCACCATGGCACTGTAGCCCCAGCGCAGAAAGCTGTACACCTCTCATCGGGATGGTTTTCTTACAGTGCTGCAACTGTTCAGTTTCTGTGCACTTAGTGGCTTGGCAGTGTGTACACCTTGGGAGTTACACTGCAGAAAGCCGCTTTACTGTGCAGAAACTTACCACGGTAGACAAGGCCGTAGATGGCTTACATAAGAACGCAATACTGGTCATACTGGGTCAGACCAATGGTCCATCTAGCCCAGTATGCTGCCTGACAATGACCAGTATCAGATGCATCAGAGGGAATGAACAGAACAGGCTTCTTGACCTGCAAGGTGAAGGGCTTTCACCCTTACCTTTAACTTTATTGTTGTTGATTCCTACTTACCCTAATTACCACACCTCACCCGAGGTCTCTGGACAAATCAGGTGTGAACCACGCCTTTGATACAGATGTATCCCAATCCAGCTGAATTGAGGCAGACTTTGGGCCAATGTCAGTTTGGAAAAGGCTCTCTTAACCCAGCAGGTTTCTCAAAGTATCTGTTGCTGTGAACCGCATGTAGTGTGGATGTGTGAACCCCAAAGATATCAAATATGAAAGAAACACAAGGCCAGTTTTGGGGAGGTTTCCAGAGCCAGGCCTGAGGGTTAAACAGCTGTGCTCAAAAGGAAAAGGGTCCTCAGCACCTATAAAAATAACTGGTTGCAAAAGTTAAATTAAATTAAGAAACCAAACCAAATCAAAAAAACAACCCAGAAAATCTACCATCACACATCCATCACCATTTTACATTTTTACATCTCCTGCCTGATGTGACATCTTTGCTTTGCAAACAAGAGACCTGGAGAACTCTGTGGTTGTTACCCTCTAACTGGGTAAAAGGCTACACATCTTGTCTCGAGTAATTTTCCTCTTAAGGGAAGATTTATTTTAAAATGTATCATAATAAATTCCATTTTAAATAGAAATAATTACAGTCTATACTGGGTCTCTATTCTGGTCCATGCTATTTCTCTCACATATTCCCCCACTCTAATTCCTTTGGAGTGAGGTTTTAATTTCAGGATTAGCCACCATTTCCAATGTAGTAGGAGGAGGCAGGGAGAGAACTAGAAGAAAACCTGAATTATATTGTAACACTGAAAGTTATCACATGATCAGCCTCTTCCGTTACACTAAATAACTTCATGTTTAATTTCATTGTCACTAGTAACAATTTATTCAAAGATTACAAAATATAAACCTATAGAGCAGTTTTCTCTGGATTTTTACACTTTCTAATCTTTCAAAGTAGCAGCAGGAGAAGTGATACAAATGCATTAGACTTAATAAGAAAAACAGAGAGACCAAAGCACAGCCTCTGGACTCAGCATTCATGTATCCCGCAGTCTGAACATCGAATCTGATACATTCCCTCATTGGCTACCATTATTTGCCAGGCATGGAAGTGCTTCTTGTCCAACAAGGCAGCCAGATTGGGACCCATAGGCATGGAATGGCTCTGAAGGAATCAGCTGTTTCTCTCTGTGCTTCATGAAACTTTGGATCCAAATGGTAAAAGACAGCTGTGCCCAATTTAATCATGGCATCCTTTAGGAGTGTGACCAATGCCACTTAACAAGGGAGCAGGGTTCTAAAAATAGTTTACCTTGGCCACAGGTCACCATAGCTTCTATCTCTGGGGTGAAACTCAACTACCAGTACGTGCAATTTCTACCAGAGTTCTTGTCAAATCTTTGACCTTACTTGAAGTAATTTTACACTTCTCTGGTGTAGAATTCTTCACCTACCACACAACATATCAGTAGCAATAGTAAGGTATAACTCCTCCAAATATGCGCTTTTATTTCTTTAGGCACAGATTTAATTTAGGAACTAAATTCAGGTGCATCTTAGAATCCCTGTAAAACACCAATTGTCAGGTATCTATTAAAAATAGTTATCTTTCTGCAGCTATATCACATTCAACACGGATTTCATTTTCTACACATTTGCAGCATCTCCCAGGGGTGAGCTGAAGAGAAATGTCACTTCCATTTTTCCCATCTCTACCTAGATAGGGATTGCATTTCCCAAATAACAGGCAACATGCACCTGATTAGGAAGGAGATATCTTCAGGAGTGACCTCCTGCAACGCCTGGGCCACAACTGTTTTGGGAGCCAAATGCATGGGTATTTTGCTTAGCTACAAGTCATTTACCGGAAAATCCTCTTCCCAGCCCTTTAGAAAAAATATTGACCTAACCAATTGAACAACAGGGGGATTCGGATGGTGATGGGGAATAAGGGAATCCCTCTGATTTACCCTATCTTCTTCTGTTGTTACAGAGAGTGAAATGACATTTTCCCCTATCCCTGCTCTTTGTTATAGTTCAATATATTTTAAGTGAGGAAAATGGTAATAAAAATATCTGCTCTCCAGCACTACCTGAAGCAACATCAGAACAACTGGGAATGAAACAATTGGTTCCTGAAGGGGGAACTTGATGATTAACAATTGCTTTAAAATGGGGGAATAGTATAACCGTGATGGTCAGGGTTTGTTTAGACTAGGAAAAGTGATGGAGTTTAGGTCAGGTCAAGGGGAAAGCTAATGTCAAACACTGCAGCTGGGCTGCATCTGCTCTACAACTATAATTGTCCTTTTACACCAAGATCACTAACTTGAGCAGCCAACGCCATGTACAGTCCTAGTGGATGTAAGGCACAGGCAGTTTTTGCCTCAGTGTAGCTTGTTGGGAATCAAACCTCTCTCTCCCACCTGGAGCTGATGAACATTCTCGGCTGGAGGGACACACACTCCTACGACTCAAAAGGAAAGGAGTTGATAGAAAAGATCAGAGGACTGACCCCAAAGAAGGGTGAGCTGCAAAAGGCAGAAGCAGGCAACTCATCTGGTGGAGCTGAGAGACCATGGTGAACATGGTACAAAAATCACTATGTGGGAATTAGCAAATGTGATTTTTAAAAAAAAAATTTGGCCAGCCCTAGTCAAGGGATTTATTACAGTTCTCTCTTATGTGGATTTTCTGATGTCTAATAAGGCTTGAGCGCTGATTGAAGCTTTTCCTGCATTCAGAGCATGTATAGGGTTTCTCTCCCATGTGGATTCTCCTATGTGAGATAAGGTTTGAGCTGTGATTGAAGCTTTTTCCACACTCAGAGCACGTGTAGGGCATCTCTCCTGTGTGGATTCTACGATGTGTGCTAAGGTGTGAGCTCCGATTGAAGCTTTTCCTACACTCAGAGCACGTGTAGGGCTTCTCCCCAGTGTGGATTCTATGATGTCTGATAAGGTGGGAGCTCTGACTAAAGCTTTTCCCGCACTCAGAGCATGTGTAGGGCGTCTCTCCTGTGTGGATTCTCTGATGTGTGATCAGGGCAGAGCTGTGACTGACACTTTTCCCGCACTCAGAGCACCTGTAGGGTGTCTCTCCTGTGTGAATTCTACGATGTGTGATAAGGTTTGAGCTCTGATTGAAGCTTTTCCCGCACTCAGAGCATGAGTAGGGTGTCTCCCCTGTGTGGATTCTCTGATGTCTGAAAAGGTGTGAGCTGCAACTGAAGCTTTTCCCACACTCGGAGCATGTGTAGGGCGTCTCTCCTGTGTGGATTCTCTGATGTGTGATCAGGGCAGAGCTGTGACTGACACTTTTCCCACACTCAGAGCATCCATAAGGTTTCTCACCCATGTGGATTCTCCTATGTGTGATAAGGTTTGAGCTCTGTTTGAAGCTTTTCCCACACTCCGAGCATGTGTAGGGCGTCTCTCCAGTGTGGATTCGCTGATGTGTGATAAGGGTAGAGCTGTGATTGAAACTTTTTCCACACTCAGAGCACGTGTAGGGCGTCTCTCCTGTGTGGATTCTACGATGTGTGATAAGGTGTGAGCTCCGATTGAAGCATTTCCCACACACAGAGCATGTGTAGGGCTTCTCCCCTGTGTGGATTCTACGATGTGTGATAAGGTGTGACCTCCAACTGAAGCTTTTCCCACACTCATGGCATATGTAGCGTGCCTCTTCCAAGTTGATTCTGTCGCGTGTTATAAGGTCTGAGTGGCTACTAAAGTTTTCCTCTGGCCTCTCCTCAGTCTCACAGGCTTTTTCTTTTTCTTGGAGTGCACAACGCCCAGAAACATTCCCTTTGGATCTTCCTGATAATGTTCCATGTGGCTCTACTTGCTCAGCACCTTCCTGACAGGATTTCTCCTCCTCATTCTCACTCACCATCCCATCACCTGATGGGAGACAGAGAGAATCCAGACATAGGTCATTCCCTGCGCCAGAAAGAAAGGAAATCTGAGAGAGAGGAATGGAAAAAGGGATGAACAAACCGAAATATGTGTGGGAGAGATCAAACCTATCAGGAGCTGATTTTCCCCAAACCCTTCCACAGAGGAGAGAGAAATGGATCAGTTTTGGTCCGCATCTCACCGGAACACTCAGATGAAAGCGAGATCGGGGAGGGACCTGCTGCCAGTTGTGAGTCAGGATAGGTGGGAAACCATGAGTGACCTCTGCCTAGTGATTCCACATCTGCAGGGAACAGTTCTGAACTTGGAGAGATCACAAGATCTTTGTAGGGAATCCCAAATGTTTCTTGTATTTATGGACAGTTTTTGAGTTGGTTTAACCAATTCCCTACCTGTGCAGGCAGCTCTCGGGAGCACTTCTTTCTCAGAGCCCTGGAGGTCTCGGACCGAAGGCTCTTCCCCTTGTTCCAGCTGCGAGATCACATCAGGTTTGGAAATTGGAAACCCTACTGCAGGCAAAGAAAAGAAGGGAGGTCAGTGGAATTTGTGGGATACTTGTCACAAAGATTATTCCATGGTTTTAACCCCAGCTCATTTTTAAGCAGTAACATCCCAAGGTTAGTTTCCTTGGCTCAAAGAGGCAGGATAGTTGTTATTATTATAAATCATATTAATTACCTTAGTACCTAAGGACCAACTAACAGTGGGTCCTCATTGTGCTAGGCACAGTGCAAACAGAGAATAGTAGTTGGGCCATGCGTCACGGAGTCCCCAGGCGATGCTCTGGGACTGCTCCCCACAAAGCCAGTCAGGACTTTGGGGAGCCTCCTCTCCCTTGGAGCAGACTGTCTTCAGGGTAAGAAGCTTCCATGGCCTCACCCTCATGGGTCTGACCTTGGAGCATTCAGCATATGCCCCTCTGTGCGCTTTCCACAGCGAGACAACCCAGGTGGGGTCCTGGGGAAGCCAGAGGGCCTGCACGCACCCCCACTTCGCAGACAGACGTGACTCTTAGCCAGCCAGTAAAACAGAGGTTTATAAGATGACAGGAATATGGTCTAAAACAGAGCTTGTAGGTACAGAGAACCAGACCCCTCAGCCGGGTCCATTCTGGGGTCCTGCGAGCCACACACCTCCGTCTGCCCTCACTCCCCGTCCCCAGCCAGCTCCAAACTGAACCCCCATCCAGCCCCTCCTTCTCTGCTGAGTTCCTTTCCCAGGCCAGGAGGTCACCTGACCTCTTTGTTCTCCCACACCTTTAGCATCCCTTTGCAGGGGGGAAGGACCTGGCCATTAGTTGCTAGGTGACAGAGTGTAGGTCAGAAACTGAAGCACCCACACACTATTCAGAGGAAACATTAAGAACAGTCCCACTTGGTCACATCTCATTAAGAACAGTCCCACTTCGTCACATCCATGGCCTGAAGAATTTACAATCTAAATAGACAAGACAGACACAGAATGGGGGAAGGGGTAGAACCCACTGTTAGAATAGAGATATTCAGGCCTGCCTGTAAAGCCTATACTTTAAGAATTTCGGTGTATTTTTATCACTTTGTCTTTATACCCCTGTAACTAGCTAAGAATCAAAATCACAGTCTGCTTGTGTATGGGCCGTCTCTCACTAGGATAGTCTGAGGCCTTGTTCTTAGGCTAAGGCCTCTGGCTAAGCAGCAGGGGCAGCCATAAACTGGGAAGTGTAGGGTCACATCCTCACATCCCAATCCAGTCACATGAACTAGGGTGGTACTGGGCTGGTAGGAATACTATTATGTCTGGATAGTGCCCATCACCACCAGATAAAGAAACAGATCTTAAGATGGTTAAAGAAAACGTAGTTTGATAGCATTCTGTCCAGCAAGAAATCACATATGGTTGTGGTTGTGAAACCCTCATTTCTGTATTGTTTTATCTTTATGGCCACCACTTTTACATTGTTAATCAGTCTGGTTCTCTAATTGTTTCTATCTGCTGTATAATAAATTTTGCCAGGTGTAAATTAATTACGGTAGTCGGATATAATTGGTTAGAGAATTATGTTACAATATGTTAGAATTGATTAGTTAAATTTCAGCACAATGATTGGTTAAGGAATAGCTGAGAATATTACTCTATAAATGGGGTCAAACAGGAGAGGGAAGAAAAATTGGAATAATAGAATCATAGATTCTATAAATCATAGAATATCAGGCTTGGAAGGGATCTCAGGAGGTCATCTAGTCCAACCCCCTGCTCAGAGCAGGACCAATCCCCAACTAAATCATCCCAGCCAGGGCTTTCTCAAGCCTGACCTTAAAAATCTCTAAGGAAGGAGATTCCACCACCTCCCTAGTTAACCAATTCCAGTGCTTCACTACCCTCCTAATGAAATAGGGTTCCTAATATCCAACGAAAACCTCCTTCATTGAAACTTGAGACCATTACTCCTTGTTCTGTCATCTGCTACCACTGAGAACAGTCTAGATCCATTCTCTTTGGAACCCCCCTTTCAGGTAGTTGAAAGCACCTATCAAATCCCCCCTCATTCTTCTCTTCTGCAGACTAAATAATCCCAGTTCCATCAGCCTCTCCTCATAAATCATGTGTTCCAGTCCCGTAATCATTTTTGTTGCCCTCTGCTGGACACTTTCCAATTTTTCCACGTCCTTCTTGTAGTGTGGGGCCCAAAACTGGACACAGTACTCCAGATGAGGCCCCACCAATGTCGAATGTTTGTTAAGGGGGGGGAGGGCAAGCCTCTGCAGCATCAGAGCTGAAAAGGGGGTCATGGGGTAAATGCTTTGCGGCATCAGAGCTGGGAAAGGAACACTGGGGAACAGACTGTATCGGCGTATAGAGATAAACCTGACTAGTGTGAAGGGCTTTGGAATACGTAACCTTATAGGTTTAAAAATTGTACAGGCTACACTACCACCCTGTGACATCATCAACAAAGTGGCCATTTGTGCCTGGGTAGGGGCCTTGCTATGGGAGGGAGGAATGCAACAAGGACTCAGCATCGGTGGCCAAGTTCACTGTGCATAGAGATGGGGAGGTTATATGGGGAGGGGGGTAATGAATGGGAGAGGGAGGTCAAGAGTTAAAATAATAATATTTGGGTGAAAAAATGTATAATGAAGTGAAACTGAACTGAAATAAAACTGGAGTACAGGCTCTAAAGCAAGAAGGCTTGGGTTGGGATTCGGGATTAAAGGTCTATGATCCCCCACAGCTCTAAATCCCCAAACCTCTCCTCCCTCCCACTGACCCACCCAATCCACTTTCTGGGTGCCCTTACTCCACACTCCTCTCCCCTTCTTCCCATTACTCTCAGCCAGCACCACCTCCTGGCACCTTGTATTCTCTCCTTGCTTCTCACTACCTCATCCCTCCCTGCTGGTTCTTAGTTCTAACTCTGGACACACCCTCCCCATGTCCAGGCACCCCAGAATTATCTACTCCCCACCTTCTCCTCCCTTCCTATGGCTCTGTTTTCCCTTCACCCATGGGGTCCTGAATGGCAATATTATACACTCTCCTATCAAAAGAAGAGCTCATCGGACTGTCACACAAGCCATGCATGAGTCATACACCCATTTACTCAATTTAGAATTCTACAGGCGGCATATTTTCCTCTTAAAATGAGGAAAAGTCATGAAAGCTACAGTTATTAATGTAGTTATTAATGTATTTAATAAGGATAAATTAAATACAATTTTAAAATGACTGACAGGACCAGAAAGGCACATGTCCAAACATTATATTAGTGGGTGGGAGATAAGGCAAAAAAAGGGGGACAAGGAAACTTGTCAAAACTTGTATTATGAATAAAGGTATAAAGTTATTACTACTCAGGTTCTTTAGAGACAGCTTCTAATAACTGAGGGGACAGGACTTCTTACCTAGAAAGACCACCGTCTCATAGTTCTCCTGTATGACATCCCTGTACAGGGCTCTCTGAGTGAGGTCCAGCAGAGCCCACTCTTCCCTGGTGAAATACACAGCTACCTCCTCAAAAGTCACCGGCCCCTGAAAGAGAAAGAGTCCAATACTCAGTACCTGCTGCCCCACTCACAACCCCACTATTCACGGAACAGCAGCACCAGGTAAATGGAAGCTCCAGGAGGCACATGTTAACAGAAGTCCCACCCCACCTTCCTTACAGCAGCCAGGAGGCATCAGAGGGTTGAAAGAGAGAACCTTTGTGTCTCCCAGCTGACAGACGGAGGCAGGATCTTGACATTTATCTCATACCTACTAGCCAGAGCTTGATATAGGATATGGGGCTGTCTCTGGAACCTACTGGTTGCTCCTTGGTAGGAATCCCAACACTCTCCAAATAAAATATATGGAAGGAAGGGGAAGTCAATAGTAAAGAATAAAAGTTAGAAGGTCAGAACTGTAGAAAATTGGTAAGGGAAGCTATCAGAAATCAATGACCAATTAATGAAAATAAGAAGGAAGTTTTTAAAAAGTATGTTAAGTACAAAATTAATCCCTAATAATGGTAGTGGTAAATTACTAGATGGAAATGGCAGAATTATCAAAAATAATGCAGAAGAGGTAAAAGTGTTTAATAAATATTTCTCTCCTGGATTTGGAGAAAAACAGTCATATAGTGATATCATAAGATGTTGACGACGACACTCTTTCCATTCCAACAATAACTCACGAGGATGTTAAACAGCAGCTATTAAAGTTAAACGTTTAAATCAGCAGGTCCAGATAACTTGTATCCCAGAGTTTTGAAAGACCTGGTGGAGGAGTGTTGAGGACTGTTAATGTTGATTTTAATTAGGACTTGGAACACTGGGGAAATTCCAGAAGATTGGAATAAAGCTAATGCTGTGACAATATTTAAAAAGTGTAAAAGAGATGACCCAGCTAATTACAAGACTGTTAGTTAATTACAAGATTGATACTGGGCAAGATAATGGAGCAGTGAATATGGATTTAATTAATAAAGAATTAAAGGAGGGTGTTGCGGAGTGTGGGGGAGTCAGGGCCCTGCACCCCTCTTCCTGAGATTCACTGCGACTCTCAACCAGCCAGTAAAGCAGAAGGTTTATTCAAGGACAGGAACACAGTCTCAAACAGAGCGTGTAGGTACGACCAGACCCCCTCAATTAGGTCCCTCTGGGAGGTTCAGGGAGCTTAGACCCCAGCTTGGGGTTCCCTGTGTTGCACCACCCAGCCCAACCTGAAACTAAACCCAGAACTCCTCCTGCTGCTCCTCCCTTCCTGCTCCCCCAAGCTCCTCCTCTCCTTTGTTCGGTCTCCTGGGCAGAAGGTGTTAATTCTCCCCACCCCCATTCCTGGCTCAGGTTACA